CCTTTAGTTCTGTTCTACATAAGGTGCCACATAGTGTTTAAAAACATGTTTGTTAACACGTGTCTAACCACACCTCATTTTCCAAGTCTAGACAGATTTATAGTCTAAACATTCTGGCCAACTTCTGAAGAAATAAAAATAAGTACTCTTCTTATTAATTCCTGCCAAAATGGCAGTCCCAGCTTCTTTGAGTCTGTTTTTGTTTAATAAAATGTAATAAATACCAAATTGGCTTGTAAACAAGATTGACTTGCAGAAGCATAGGAGTCTTCTTTTAATCTCACCCTGGAGCAGAGATCTCTCTCTGATTCTTACAGTTCTTTTCTAGGATGGAAAAAATCATATGGTTATCAGATCTTCGGACTTTTGAGGGTGGGAAAAAATGGGAAGCAGTTTTTCCCTCTTTCCATGAGGAATGGAAAACTCTGCTTATGTTGAAAACGCTGGCTTCCTGTGCACCGCAGGCCACAGAACCTCACCCACTCACTCCTGTGATAAACACACAATCTCTGGCTGAGTAACTGAAGTCCTCAAATCATGATTTACAGACTTCAAAAGTTAAAGAAAATCCACTATTTATTCTGGTTCAAGCTAGGAAGTGACCCATGCCCCAGGCTGCGGAGGAAAGTGAGAAAGGCCCAGGGTCTCTGCCAGTCTGACCTGGGCGAAAGTTCCATCCTGACCCCAAATATGGTGATCAGTTAGACCCTGAGCCTGTCAGCAAGATTGTTTTATCTGTTCTATCACTTTTAATTTCTTTACAGTCTATCTTGTCATTAATATACAATGCCACTCCACCACCTTTATCTTTATTTCTGTCTTTCTTTAGCAGCACGTACCCTTCAATACCTGTACTCCAGTCATGATAATTATTCCACCATGTTTCTGTTATTGCTATAATATCTGTTTTCACTTCCTGCACCGGTAATTCTAGTTTCTCCATTTTGTTATCCAGACTTCTTACATTGGTGTACATATATTTTAGTTGTTGTTGCTTGGCTTTGCCCAGATTCCTCTCCCTATTAGGTACGATCATTCTACTGCCAGTATTGCCTACTTGACTGTTAGTGCCAATACCAGTGACTTTCCTCTTGATGTCTTCAACCCTCTATTGTTCCATTCTCCATTGCTGTATTCTCTCTTACTTGATTTTCCTCCTGCTCAGCATTAGAATCAGGCATGGAGATTACATGAGCATCTCCCAACTCTCTACCCCGAATTCCTAGTTGAAAGCTGTTTTAATCAGTTGTGCCAACCTCCATCCCAGCAGTCTATTTTACTCTCTATTCAAGAGGAGTCCATCCCATGAAAACAGTCCTCTATTTGTAAATTCCACCCAGTGGTCAAACACCCCAAAGCCCTTCTTATAGCTCCATTGCCTGAGCCATCTGTTGATCATCATAATCTTGTCTTACCTTCACTCTTCTCCTCTAAGGAGAGAGAGAATACCACTAAAGGTCACCTGAACCTCCATTTCTTTAAATGTCTTCCCCAGCCAGGCATAGTCTCCCTTGATGCATTCCAGTGAGAATCCAGCAGTATCATTGTCTTTCATGGGGGGACAAATCAGTGGGTTCTTTCCTCATCCCATTAGGATCCTTTTAAGCCTCAGGTTCACATCCTATATCTTAGCTCCTGGCAAACAGCATACCCATCTGTTTGCAGGATCAGCTCTGATGACAGGCCCGTCTGTTCCTCTTAGTAGGGAGTCCCCAGTCACGTAGACCTACCTCTTCCCGGTGTTGGTGCAATTCTCTGGCCTTCCTCCTTTTGTTCTTTCTGGCTGCAAGTCCTATGTCTTTTGTTCTCACTTGCAATCTTCTGAGAGTCATCCTCTATCCTCCTGTGGCTCCGAACTCTGCTATCTCCATTGACTCTTCCCCTCTGCTTCTCTTCTTCTTTGCCTTTCCACCTTCAGTTACTACCTGCCATGCCCTTTCATTTTCCAAGTCAGCAAACCTGTTCCTCAGCTCATCATCTGTTCAAATCCCCTTCAAAACTCAACAATAGTTTCTACCTGCATCTCCCAACCTTAGATCTTTTCTTCCATCAGATCTATCACGCAGCACTTCATACAAACAAAGCACCTATCAGGTACCTGCTCCAGGATAATGTACATCCCACAGCTTCCACATCCAGTCATCTTCATTGTCTCTTCCAATCCTTGGGTCACTACCACTGCTACCTCTGTAGCTGTCATAGCCTTCCCGCCTAAAGTCCTGTCAACGAGAAGAAAAGCACGCGCACGCATGCACACAAGCATTCTCCCCTTACAATCTTTCACCTCAGACTCCCCCGTTTTCAGCACTGTTTGCTGTCTCCTGTGCGCTGCACCCGAGATTGAGATATTTCCTTTTCTCCATGCCATTGTTTGTGCTATTGATTTATAAGATCTGACCAGATGTCTTGTCTCAGTGCTGAACTATGCACTAACTTAAAAATGAAAAGTTTTTCTAATTGGTGGACTATGATTATTCAGTCATGGAAACTTTTTTCCTAGGTTTTTTTTATGTGACAGTTTAAAATGATTTTCAATTGTTTAAATAATAATCCCAGAAGGTCACATTTGTCCTGAGACAGGTTTTATGATGAACTGCATTATTCAAGGGTTAGGAAAATAACACCAGTACGCATGGATTACAAACTACAACTATAAGCTAAACATTGTTGGGTGGAAGGGGTGATATATTTTTCCTGGGTATCTCTGTAGCACTGACAGTCTGATACTGTGATTGTTTTCATCTGCACCCTTTACTTTACACATGCTAAATTAAAATAGCTTTAGATAAATACTCACCAGTGCACTATAAGTGCTATTCCCCATATCTGTTACTAGTTATAACACCTCTATTCATGACCAATTCCCAGAGTCTACAGACCATGAGTTCTTAGGGGCATGAGACACAGGCGATCACATTAGCTGTTCCTCCACAAAAATGCTACCTAGAAACCTACCCCATGGATGTGCTGGAGAGGGGGAAGGGGAGAAGAGACTCCCACCCCTCTCCTCAGTACATTGTAATGTACAAACTTGATCTGTTTTACAGCTGAGTGGGACATCTGTATTTCACTTTGGGAACACTTTGCTGTATAATCTAGACTAATCCAGAATTTTGTGAATTGTTCCAGACTTTTTTCAGAGATTTTTCTATCAATGATATTTCAGTTTGCAAACTTTAAATCTCCAGCTTACGTTTCACAAACTGCTGCTAATTCCGCTCCTAAAGAAAAGCTAATGTTGTGTCAAGAAAGAGGGAAGTAAACAGCCAGCACTCTTGCCCTCCAAGCAAAAACAGCCTTTAGCAGAAGAAAGTAAATATCTCTCCCACCCTTGTCACTCTTAGGACATGCAACTATAGATTGCTCCTGTGTCAAGGTGGTAGCTCTCTTCAAAGCCAGGCTGGCTATGCGCCCCAGGCCGTAGTTATCTTCAAGGCTCCTATGGCAGCTTGACTCTGGTCATCGTCGTTCCATTTCCAGCTACTTCCCCATACAGTAGAGACCCCCCGCCCCAAGCACTGCTGGGGCAGCATTTTCACATGTTTTCAAAGCTGCTATTCAAACGAGAATGGTTTAAATGTCAGTTGATATCAAATGGGCACCATTGTACTGAATTAGTGAAAAACGGCTTGGTGTATGGAAAAGATGTTCCATTAGCGTGAGGTACTACCCTGAAGTATGACTTGAAAAGTGTCATCGTGGGGTTACCGTGTTATTGTGTCTCAGTGATCTCCATATAACCACTTCACTTTACACCATAAACAGGATGGATTTACTAACTACCAACTCAGCAAACTCGAGGCTATGTTTACACTACCACGGGATCGACGCTGCTGTGATCGATGCACCAGGGGTCAATTTAGCGGGTCTAGTGAAGACCCACTAAATCGATGGCAGAGCGCTCGCCGGTGGACTCCGGTACTCCACCGGGAACGAGAGGAGTAAAGTAAGTTGACGGGAGAGCATCTCCCGTCGACCCAGCACAGTGTAAACACCACAGTAAATTGACCTAAGCTATGTTGACTACAGCTATGTTACTCACAGAGCTGGAGTAGCATAATTTAGGTCAATTTACCACGGTAATGTAGACATAGCCTCAGCTTGGGATCTGACAATCAAATTGTGCTTCTGGTTCTGTAATAAAGATCCTGCAGGTCAAATCCTGTCCTCAGTGACACGATCTGTGTACGTGTGATGTCTTCATTGGGCGTTGCCGTGGCAATTTAACAATTCCGCTGATAGTTGTGCAAGGTCAAATAGAATCCAGCTCACTCTCCTATAACTATGGTGTTCCTGTAGGATGTAAAAAGGACCAATGCTATGTGATGGTACTAAAGCAAGGAGATGGGTCTCTGAATAGATCATAGTGGGGGAACAGATCTGTTGACAAGTCATGTTTTAGTCACTATTGTAATCTAGATCCATATAATCCATCCTAGAATAATCTTTTGGATTATTCATTAATTTTTTGGTTTTCTGTCACACAAACATATATCAGATAATGCTGTGGCTGGTTCAAAAGACTACTGATGTATTTTCAGATAAGAATTCCTATTGAGTTTATTTTTGTCTTGAAACTAGAACAAAGCACTTCGAATGGGAAAAAAGAATGCTTAAAAAACTGGCTGTACTTGAAGAGGGCAGCATCTGGCTTGAGTGAGGGAGGGAGTGATTGCCTTCGTTATTTGCTCAGCTGCAAGGGTGATGGAATTAATTTAGACCCCCTCTTCAAGCACATTGTTTGATCTTTTTCCTAGGAAAATAAAAATGAATGATGGAACTGGATCCAGGGCATTTTCTGTTTGATTTTTTTTTTCATGTTAATCAGGTGGTTGCACTTCCTTTTCTACTCAATAGCCCAGAAACAGCATAGATAATAGATTACTCACCTTTGCCACGGTTACACTAAAGAAACATTGTAAGAAGTTGTTCTGTGAAACTTCATTAAATTACTTCCCTAGAGAGATTTTTATGTGAAAAGCGATTTCTTGTGTTTTTAGGGGCTGGGAATACAAATTGCAAAGTCGCAATTGTGATGGCCAAAAATAAAAATCTTTCTGCATCCAGGTAAGAATTAAATGGTCACTGAGACATTTGTTCAGGATCCAAGCAATGAGACCCAATCAAAACCCCATTTATTGAACCAGCCATTGCTCACAAAACCTTTACATGGAACAACTGTAATTGCATGGTCAGTTAGAGTTGAGTGTGGTTTAGAAATGGAACCTTAGGCCATGTACGTACCCTCAGAAGTCTAACTGACCAAACTTCAGAATTTCTCAGATAGAGTCCAAGTCATAAGGTACTCTTGATCTGTGTGGCTTGGATCAAGGACAACATATGGCCTTAATGTCTTTAGTTCTCCCGTAAGCCTTTTGAAAATGTATCCTTTAAAATCCACATCACAAATACTCACTTTTCAAAAACTAAAATCTACCACCAGACCTGGTTTACATTTTTAATCCATTAAGCGTGTTTTTAAAGCATAACTAGAGGAGGGAATGGTTCTATGAATAAAGGCAAAACTATACACAGTTTACCAGATCAGAAAAAGTAAGTGCAAGAATCAAATCAAAGGCCTGAATCCTGCTCCTACTGAAGTTAATGCCAAAACTCCCATGAACTTAAATGGGGCAAGATCGCAGTGCCAGTATATATGGAAAAGTTAATTGGATCAGGGGGTCTAACAGTTCGTTCATACCACAAGTTCTGAAAACAGGGTGTGACAGACCCAGACCAGTGGGGTACAGGAGTCTGGTAGAGGGCAAATATACTGGTCACTGGATGAGTAGATTTCTGTTCCCTGAGTGACCAGAGCAGGGGCTGCACTAGAGTAATCAGGAACCTGCTAGAACCAGTTAAGACAGGCAGGCTAATTAGGACACCTGGAGCCAATTAAGAAGAAGCTTCTAGAATCAATTAAGGCAGGCTAATCAGGACACCTGGGTTTTAAAAAGGCGCTCACCCCAGTTTGTGGTGGGAGTGTGAGGAGTTGGGGGCAAGAGGCGTAAGGAGCTGAGAGTGAGAGGGTGTGCTGCTGGAGGACTGAGGAGCATAAGCGTTATCAGACACCAGGAGGAAGGTCCTGTGGTGAGAATAAGGAAGGTGTTTGGAGGAGGCCATGGGGAAGTAGCCCAGGGAGTTGTAACTGTCATGCAGCTGTTACAGGAGGCACTATAGACAGCTGCAGTCCACAGAGCCCTGGGCTGGAACCCGGAGTAGAGGGCAGGCCTGGGTTCCCCCCAAACCTCCCAATTGACCTGGACTGTGGGTTCTTCCAGAGGGGAAGGTCTCTGGGCTGTTCCCCAACCCACATGGTGAATCTCTGAGGCAAGAAAATCCGCCAATAAGCGCAGGACCCACCAAGATAGAGGAGGAACTTTGGCACAAGGGACCTTAGTATTTTCTCAGTCTTCTCAACCCAGCTATTCCTGACTTAATGTATTGTATTTACACGTACATCAAGCAGAGAGAAAAATATGAAGGCATCTATTTTGATGCTTACTATAAAACCTTAGGCTCACACTCAGGGCGCACACCTTCTATCTGGCACCCCGCTCTAAGTGTTGGAACCCGATGTCCAGTTGCCCAGCCCCTCCGGGCACAGAATTTTACCTTCATTTCTCCCCCATCACCCCATTCTTAAACACATCTCTCTCCTACATCTCCACCCACATGTGTAGCACAGGAGAGTACCGATCATACAAAACTTTTTAAAAGTTGTACTTAAAAAAAAAAAAATCTAAAATAGCTATTGAAATTTCTCCTAACTGTTACTTTTGTCTTGATCAGGTACAGACAGCACAGTATGATCATAGTTCCACTGGACATACCAGGCTTGAAACTTATAAGACCTCTTTCCGTGTTTGGCTACCTGGGTAAGGAGGAAATCGTAATTATCAGCCACGTTTGCATTTATATTAGCCTACTCGGGATCTCCGGAGTAATAATTATACTATAAACAAAGTACTAAAGACACTCTTCGAATGCATATCTAATAGACACATCAGTACTGAGCACCTGTAATTTGTGAGTGAATATTGGCTAGAACCAATTTTATACATGGATATTTTTCTTTTTCTTTGTGTAATTAGATCAGCCCCACGGTGGACATTTTGAAATACATTTTAATGAAGTGCGAGTACCTGCCTCCAATTTAATACTAGGTGAGCTTCACTGTTAACTGTTCTTTGAAAGTCACTGCAATGACACTAACTTAAAGTAATTGTGTCCTTTTAAAATCTGATGAAAGCTCTGATGAATAACCTTACTATGTAAGGAATATGCCATTAAGCTTTTGTTCTTCCTTCATATGTTTAGATGTAAAGACAGTTTTTTTCCAGGAGCTGCCTCTTGGAGAGAGAAGTTCATTCTTGACAGTAGTGTCAACAGGGGTTGAATTGGGCCAGCACACAGTCCCTTAGCTGTACTTTTCTGCCTCAAAACATTTCTTACTAGTCTGCAGCATCTGAGTTGTCTCCTCTTCATAGCAGAAAAGTATCCACTAATTGTGCTTAATCTGTTTCCAACCTATTGACCTTTTGCTCAGCCAGGAAAAGGGTTTGGAATGTTATCTTTCCCCCTCCTCCAATAACCTAACACTGCAGAATACTCTCTCTTTTTAGCTTTTTGGTTTTTAAGTAGATATGGTTGCTGCACCAGCAGTGCCAAAATTCCTCCTGCACTGTGGCAGGCCAAAGCAAAAGCTATGGAGTTCTTATCCAAGAACAAACAAACCTCTTAGAGGCTTCCCTTCCTTCCTAATTCCTTCTGAATACAGCCCAGGCCTCTCAACAGACAGGTCTGCCTCAAAGTCTTTCAAAACAGAATTCTGATGTTGCCTACGGCCATAGTATCCTGAACAAGCCTGATCTCGTCAGAATTCTGCATAGGCAACAATAGGTATTACTTGCCCCTTCTTGTAGGAGGAACGTTTTGACCTCTCTGACTTATGCCAAGTCTCATCTGGGGAGAAGCTAGGATTTATATAGCTTCTTCGCCCACCATGCAAGTGCTTTGCTGAATCAGAGTTTTATTGAATCACCCTTGGAACTGATCTTTCAGTTGGACATTCATCAGTTATGCTCTGGAAACCACAAATTAAAAGACCTCAAATCCCATAAAGTAGATAAAAATGTAAGAAATAATTAGGTAATTCAAACCCAACTGGAAACCAGAATAATAACCCCTTAGGCACAAATACTATTGACAGAACCTGTGTGTTGTGTATTCACATAAAGCAAAGTGTGTGTTGCTTTATGTGAATACATATAGGTATTAAACAATTAAAATGGCTACAGTGCTGCAAAATAATTGTAAAGAAGCTCCTCTCTAGGGTATCATCAGACAATTCCTGCAGTATGGCCACTGATTTTCTTCAGAGCAGAGGTGCGCGGTTATTTGAAGCATTGAAATGAGTTCCACGTGGCCATTTTGTTTCCCACCTCTCTTTTTTTGTTTCCCACCACACAGGTGAAGGAAGGGGTTTTGAGATTGCTCAAGGTCGGCTTGGGCCAGGCCGTATTCACCACTGCATGAGATCCATAGGTGCAGCTGAATCTGCTCTACAGATCATGTGTGAGCGTGCAGCTCAGAGGGTGACCTTTGGGAAGAAACTGTACCAGCATGTAAGCACACTACCTCTTTGCCTAGTTTGCTATGAATACCCCTTTGCTTAGCTCATGTGGAAGCTTGGGATTCTAACATCCACAGTAACAATCACTCTAGAAAAGGTTGAGATAATCGCTAATTCCCATCAACTCTGCAGATGCTGTAGGTTAAATATCTGTCTCAGATAGGAAAGAAAATATTAAGGTTGGGAGAGTCTAGGGTTACCATATTTCAGCAAGCAAAAAAGAGGACGGGAGGAGCCCCGCCCTAGCCCCGCCCCTGCCCCTCCCACTTCCCGCCCCCCCAGAACCCCCAACCTTCCCCCCGTTCCTTGTCCCCTGACTGCCCCCTCCTGGGACCCCTGCCCCTAACTGCCCCCCAGGACTCCACTCCCT